ATCTCAGGGTAAAGCTATAATCTCAGGATACAGGTAATCTCAGGGTAGAGCTATAATCTCAAAATACAAGTAATCTCAGGGTAAAGCTATAATCTCAGGATACAGGTAATAATCTCAGGGTAGAGCTATAATCTCAGGATACAGGTAATAATCCAGGTGAGTCAGTTTCAGGTGAGTCTTTCTGAACAAAGTAAAAGTCTTGCCTTCGGTCTGACTTCGCATGTTAAACTTGTGAGCGACTGCGAGTGAATCTGGGAGTTTCCCTGTTAAAGTTCTGAGCTGCAGGATGCAGGTTCTGGTGTTGGAGGGCCCGCTCTGAGCTGTTTGGGTCGGTTTGGTCCGGAGCCGAGCTGCAGCTGAGTGAGACCAGCTGGAGCTCGGCTCTCTGAGGAGCCGAAGGATGTTTGTGATAAAAAGGGCGTCGGCTGCAAAAATCTGCCTCAGAGCAGCAGAACACAAGAAGATCTGACTCAGAACCCCGGTCCAGTCAGAACCCCGGTCCAGTCAGAACCCCAGTCCAGTCAGAACCTCGGTCCAGTCAGAACCCTGTTCCAGTCAGAACCTCGGTCCAGTCAGAACCCTGTTCCAGTCAGAACCCCGGTCCAGTCAGATAATCAAGACTTTTTGAAGGATTGAAAAGTTTTGGATCAGGTGACAGAACCGTACCTGTCTGGACCTGGACCGACCTCCAGGCCGTTACATTTCGGTCCCAGATTAAACCCGAGTTGTTAATCAGATTAAAAATGTTCGGGCTCAGCCTGAAGGAGCAGCGTGGGTTTGTCTTCCTGTGGACATATGGGTCGGGTGCATGGCTCCATGTTCAGTGGCCGAAGGCGGGGCCTCGGTGCTCTGACCCTGACTTACCGAAGCTGATCTTGGGACATGGAGCGTGACCTGGGGGGGGGTGGACGGAGGGGGGGGGCTGAACCTGTGCATGAGGTTGAGAGGAACCGACTAGATCTAGTTGGACTCACCTCGACACACAGCATGGTGGAACTGATCTCCTTGAGAGGGGCTGGACCTCTGGAGTCGTTCATGGTGAGAGGGTCGAGCTGGTGAGGGTCTACTTGAGTCCTGGGTCCTAGTGGGTCCTTCTCACCCCAGGGCAGCAGGAGGGTCAAACACAGGCCGACGGTCAGAACCTGAAATGAGGACCTCTGACTGGACCGGGCCTTAAATGCTGTAACTTACTGGGAGTGATGTCATCAAAGAAAACACAACAGCTGAACTCAACAATCACAGAGACTTGTAGCTTTAGGTTTACGCCTTGTAGCTAACTAGCCTTTAGCTAGTCTGTGGCTACATGCAGCTTTTAGCTAGACTTTTACTACATATAGTCAGGTTTTTAATTACGTTAAGCTTTTAGATAGTGCTTAGCAGTTTTTAGTTAGCCTTTTGCTATTCTCTGATTTTAGCTATTGTTTTGCTACTTTTAGCTTTTTTTTTTGTTACTAGCTTTAAAAACTCGTTTCAGCTTCTTCTTCTTCATGTGTTAAACCAGTTGTTCGAAAAGCAGCTGAAACAACCCAAAGTATTTATTTTGTTCTGCCTCACCTGTTCCTCATTAACAATCAGCCCAGGTGTTCCCTCAGTTTGCTGTAGACAGAACCAGTCTCCACCAGCTCAGGGTTTCATCCTCCCAGTTCCTGCTTTTTGTTTTCTGCTTTAAGGACTTCTGGAGTCTGGAGTTTTAGCTGTTTTTAATCGTCAGCTGCAGGTTCCTGGTTCTGTTGGCTTCATTTGCAAGAAACGGGTCGAACAGGACGTGGGGATCCTGACCTGCAGCTAAAACAGCTAAAACAGCTAAAACAGCTAAAACATGAACCGTGTCAGACTCACCAAGAAAACCTCCGTAACTTCCGGTTCGCTTCAAAACCTTAAGAACTAAAGAAGTTCTGTTCGGTTATCTGTAAATGGTACCGAGGCTCGGCGGGATCAGAACCGACAGGAGCGGCTCGTCCCGCCGGACCCGGACCGTCCTGCAGCTCCACCGGTTCTGAGCCAGTAATGATCCAGTAATGATCCAGTAATGATCCAGTAATGATCCA